TGTCGGCTGTGAGTTTTATTCGTAATTGCCACCCTTGGTTTTTCCTTTTAATTGACCTTCTTCCCAAAGCGCGTCGAGCTGAAGCGCTTGGAGCACGAGCGCCAAAGGTTATTGCAACGGAAAATGTTCGAGGATCAAATGCGCGCACTCGAACAACAACAGGCGCAGGAGTTGCTTAGCATTCCTTATGACCCCACTGCCTCAGCCCATCTCGCAGTCTCGGCGCCCACCACCCCCCCAAGAGTGAACGCGGTTTTGAATGGCGACAATCTTGTTAGGGCGGCTCTCTCTCACTCTTCTGTGGATGCAGAGACGCTTTCTAAGGCTGTCGGTTCTGCGGTCGCGGATAAAAGAAAGTCGGTCACTTATGCCCCTTCCGTTCATCGGTCCCCAGAGCTTGGTTCTAGTCATGTAATGAACGGTCACTATGGGCGACCAGCTGGAGCAAAAAGCATGCCAGCTAGCCGTCGCACTTCAGCTAGCAGTCACGACGAGGAGCTTGCCAGTCATTTGCAAGGTCTCTCCTTAGTTGGAGAGCGTCCCTCTCGAGCGACGCCCAGCCCTGGCGCCGTGGCTCATTCGCTTTTGGCTCGCGGGAGATATAGTGACGAGGAGCGCCCTCGCCAGCAGTATAATGTGGGCCTGATGCTTGACGAGCAATTGGATCAGGAAATGCATAGTAAGTGATCTCTGAGCTTGCTTTACCTTTCTCATGTTTCCTAGATGCAATGAGGCATCTCCCAACCTCCGACGAGGACAAATTTGCGTCCTATGCCAACAGGGTATTGTTCTTGCGTTTTATATTACTCCAAACTAACACCGAAACGCAAGATTACTACCTCGTCTGCTGCTCTGGATCTCGCTCATCGCTCCCAGACATCTCCACGGAATTCATTCTCTGCAAGAGGCGACAAGCACTCTGAGTGGCCACAGTTCTCAAACAACCCACGCGTACCCGACGGCTTGAGCTCCCGTAACGATCGCCGCACTGTCACCAACCCAACTTTGACGCTGACGTCTTCGCCTATTGATTTGTCTTCCACCACCCTTGGGGGTGGCGCTGCGACCCCACATGCAGGCCAACATACACAAGCGTCTCTTGGTTCAACTGGGCAAGCACCTGGATCCAGGCGGGGATCCCCTGCCATGAGCGCGACACGCTCAGTACCAGCTACGCCTTTATCTATGGCGAACGGTGGAAACGGGCATCTTCTGCAGACTCCTGGCACTCCTCACACACCTGATTCTCAGGCTTTGAGCGGACGACTTTCATCGCAAAGTAGTTACCCGATAATCGAGGACTCTGGCAAGAGTGACATTCAACCATCTCTCTCTCGCATGTCATCCGGCCAGTACGACAATGTCTCGATTGGTTTCGAACAATACGGCGTCGAAGATGTTTATGGGTTGAACGGTCAGATGGACAGCGGTCGGTTTAATTCGTATGATCTCGACTCGAGCACCCGGTCTGGTAATAGCGTCAATGGTGCGAGCGGCTCGACCGCCCTTTACCACCATAATGGGACGCGATACGGACTGCATATTGGTCGTGGCAATGGCGCTGATGGAAAGATGAATGGTTTACACGGTCCAAAGCACAAGAGGGGTGACATGGATAGTAAGGACATTTGTCTTCTCAAGCTAGTCTGTTGTCACTTACCATTTATGTAGTGAACCGTTTCGCTGGCACACGCCTTGAAGACCTTCAGGGCGAAATACCCACACTTTGCAAAGACCAGCACGGCTGTCGCTACCTGCAAAAGAAGCTCGAGGAAGGTGTTCCTGAACACCGGGACATGATCTTCCGCGAAACATTCGGTCATTTTGCGGACCTCATGACTGACCCTTTTGGCAACTATCTGTGCCAAAAGCTCCTCGAGTTCTCCACAGATGATCAACGAAATGTCATTTGCGAGTCCGTCGCTCAGGATCTCGTTAACATTTCGTTGAACATGCACGGTACGCGCGCAGTACAGAAAATGATTGATTTCTTGTCCACCAGACGCCAGGCAAGTCGCTTTTAGCGGATTTTTATCTTCCAGACTTACAGTAGAGCGCAGACTGATCTTAGATACAACACTCAGATTCATTCTATTATTCTTGCACTCAGCCTTCATGTTGTAGTGCTCATCAAGGATCTCAACGGGAATCACGTTATTCAAAAATGTCTCAACAAACTTGCACCGGAAGATAACCAGGTGAGGAGTGTGGCGGTGTTGCACCGTGGTGTTGGTAAACTGACTTTGATGCGCTAGTTCATATACAACGCAGTGGCTGCCAACTGCGTAGAGGTCGCTACCCACCGCCACGGATGTTGCGTGCTGCAGCGCTGCATCGATCATGCTTCGGACCATCAGCGCGTCCAGCTTGTGGATGAAATCACTTATAACGCATTGACCCTCGTTCAAGATCCTTACGGCAACTATGTGGGTGTCCCGTCGCTCATGCGTTATAATCCCTGACGGTCGTTGGCGTTACCAGGTTGTCCAATATATCTTGGATCTTAACGACAATCGTTTTAGCGATGCCGTCATTCGGCAATTTACAGGCAACGTATGTGCGCTTTCTGTCCAGAAGTTTAGCTCCAATGTCATTGAGAAAGTGAGATTTTTTCGTCTTAATCATCGTTCTCATGCTAACTGGGACTAGTGCATCCGTGTGGCCGAACATAGTACCAGGAAAATTTTGATCGAAGAGTTACTCAACCGCTCCCGCTTGGAGAAACTTCTTCGCGACTCGTATGGCAACTATTGTGTGCAGGTACTATTTTTCTTTCGCGTATTTTTGGTTTGGGCTGGACATTTTTGTAGACCGCGCTGGACTATGCCGAGCCTGCGCAGCGTATGCTCCTCGTTGAAGGCATTCGCCCAGTCCTTCCTTTAATTCGCAACACTCCTTACGGCAAGCGGATCCAAAACAAGTTGCAGCGGGAACAAGCCAATGCTGAGAACTTTGGCTACCATGCCCCTCAGGGCATGATGCCCATGGGTAACCAAGGTCATCACGGTGGCAACCCAGGTCATCATGGTGGTAACCCCGGTCATCATGGTCACAGTCACCATTCTGCAGGGGCGCGACACATCCCTCAAGGAATGCACCCTACTAGCGTGGCTGATGTCTATGCCGCCCAGGGAGGCTTGTATGGTATGCAAGGCCAAGGCTCCTACGGCCACTCTCACCTCGGCCCCCAAATGCATGGCCTCCAAGCGCGTTCGATCGACGGATATGTCTTGCAAGGCACCTCTCCTCATAGCGCGAGTCTGACCCCCCCTCATACCCACGCCTCTGGCTACACAGGCGTTGCTGGATATGCTAACGTGAGCCCTTTTGGCACGGTCGGTGTTGCCGGGTCATTGAATGATCCTTATCAGAGCTATGGCTATGGCATGTAGAGCGGGCACATTACATGCTGCTTCGGACGTTTCTGCTCTTTCGTTCCTTGCGCACCTGCGCAGTCACTCTTTAATGGTTTCAATGTATATTCTATGTCGACGCCCGATACCTCACAAGCACGTCGGCTCGATCTCACTATCTTCCAGGAGATTTTTCAATCATGAGCAAGGGCCGACTTTTATCATACCACTGCGCATTTGTACTTCCGCACCGGCATATTCCAATCCCCCATTGCTATTAGTTGCTTTCTGATACATCTTTCTTATCTGCCACACCCCATTTGTATAGCCTTAATCTTCCCCGTCATCTAAAGCAATGTCTGTTTAATGGTTAAACCGTCGCAGCACTACCTTCTGTACTTATTGTCCAATCTATGACGTCGTTGTTTTCAAGGTCTTATGTTGGAGTTGACGGGAGTAAGGGTGTATTCAGGCATAATCCTCACGTCAAGCACTGAACCAATCAATGTTGTAGTGGTGCTTATTTAAGCCAGTGAGATGACCCATTCGTGAGCTGGCATTGAAGTTGCATCTCAGTGGTACGAAGTGCATTAGATGGTAGATGCATTTCATGCTAGTCTTGTTCGCATATTATCATAGTGGCATACAAGACGACCAAATGATCTGGCGAGATAGAGAAATGTGACGAGAGAATGATGATATAAGATGCAGGTGCGCGACTGGATACATTTCACCGGTTCTATTCGTTTGAACATGAGCTGCTGCAACACACTCGAACGCTATGGCACTCACCTTCACGAACCCGATGGCAGCTGACTTTTCACGGAAGCATTGACGGCACAAGTCAAGGCCGTACTTACGGATGAGACCAGCCTGGTGCGCACAGAGGCGGCTAGTTATCCCCAGACGCATCACTCAACGACCTATGATACGGATGATGGTGCGCAACTCACCACTGGCGGGCGCCCTTTCCGAACTTTCTAGGACGAGAGAACCAAACAGCGTCGTGGGTCATTTTGAAATTTTTGCTTGAAACTAAGATGAAGGTTGGACTGCGTAGCGAGAAACCGTAGGCTTTGGCTTACCTTGCCGGGCTGTTGCTTGCGTTGAAGGCCTTGCTATCAGAAATCCCCGCCGCCATAGCAGAGTTGCCGTGTTTGGCAAAACTGTACAGTGGCTGATATAAGGTTCAGAGTCTCATCTACACTCGCCGGTATTTGCCGCGCGGCGCTTTTAACGGCTTGGGTAGACGCCCTGATGTCGCCCGCCTAGCTCAATCGGATAGAGCGTCAGACTCTTACTGCTAGGCGACTGTGATCTGAAGGCTGCGAGTTCGACCCTCGCGGTGGGCTACCGTTTTTTTGTCTGGAGTCTTCCTGGTGTTCGGTGCGTCGACATTGACTGTGGACTTGGTGCTCAAAAGGCTATTGCAGCAGATGTACCAGTAGCACTAGAGCGCCTGACTCGGTGTGTGATTCTGATGCCTGGTGCAGTGGTACTTCTACTGCTGCTGGCGCATCCTGCAACTTGCCAATTCAACGGGAGAGTCGATGGGTAGGTCAGGCGCCTGTCCCGCCAGTACCACAGCCTTTGTCTGCCACTTGCTGCCTAGGAATTATCTGGTAAGCCAGGCGCTCTCATGCTACCGCCCGCCTAGCTCAATCGGATAGAGCGTCAGACTCTTACTTGCTAGGCGATTGTGATCTGAAGGCTGCGAGTTCGACCCTCGCGGTGGGCTATGGTTTTTGCGCTTCACAGTAAAACAAAACTGCAAGGTTTTCGCCGTGTGGTGTTGGTGCGTGCTAGGCTGGGGCTTATAGCACTGTTGCCTAATGCCAGCATCATGATCCCTGATTCTGGTGCTATCACTGGCATTTATTGCCCTGCAGGTTCTTGCGACCAGCCAAGCCTTTTTCTTCGCCACCGTCCAGGGACTCTAGGCCGCTTTCTATAGCACGAGAGGCTCGTTTAACACCGTACCCATCCTCGCTACCGATAAAATTACAGTGATAGCGCACTTATTTTGGACGGCATGGACACCAAAATATTACTTCACGACTTTACCCTCCCTTACTAGACGGAACGGCTGGCTTCATTCTATTGGTCTGCCTGCGGGAGGCCACATCATTCCTATATCAACGATGGAAGCTATCTTTTGATTTGTCATGCAACCACATGATGATCATGTCGGACTATATTCGTGGGTCGACGATGACCACTTGGCACTCTGGCTACTACATTTTTGAAGGTCTTTCAACAAATCAAAAAAGCGATTTGTCCGTAGTGGATCCCTCCTTTGCGCGCTGTCACATAAATGACCAGTAACCACCTCAATGTGTTATTTCTCGTTGCTCCAGCTCAGACAATACAGACGGCGACGATCGTTCCCCACTGCGCATATACAAACGCGCCTGGCGTCCGGTTTTGCGTCAACGAACGCAATGCCCTGGTTGGCATAGCTGTCACTGTACTGTGGCGCCAGTTCAACTCATGACATGCACCACTTCCTGGGTTATTGATTTGACATCCCAGGCGAACAACTTTATCAGTGGAACTCAAGTCGCAAGTGAACCATCGCCTTGAGACCCGGATAGTATTGCCACTACAGCCGATCGTATTGTATGTAAAATTGTGATTATAGTACGTTCTTGCTCGTATGCTGTGCTATTCGCTGATGCTCCGGCCGAAGATTACTCCTTCCACATAGAAAAATTCGTTCTTATCTGTGATACACACAAGCGTCTCTACTTAAGCGCGGTGGCAATTGATAGATAAATATCGGAAACCGAGTCGTGTGAGTCGTTTAGGAGGAGCGTGTGGATGGGCATGGATATTGAAGGGACTACAGAAACGGCGCTATGGTTTGGTGTCCTGCCAGTATTTAGCATGGGCTGCGGTATCGTGGTACTCAAGATAAAGTATATAGTTTGCGCCTCAAAGAAACAACATACCACATGACCATCGCCAGTACCGCCTCGCAAACTATATGGGGGGAGGCGATTAATGATTGCCAATTAATGACGAAATTGGGGTACCAATATCAATTGCACAGCTGCGGTCAGGGTCACGGATGCTATAAGGTCTATATTCGTGTTTCCTATTAGCCACCATTTTCAAGTATTCGTCAACCGTTTCGACTGCAGCTTGTACTAGCCTTGTACATAAGAAAGCAACACAGTGAAAGATGGTGGCAAGCAACGGACAAGTAGCAGAGTTGATCATGGGGAGAAGGACTCTCGAATCTTCGTTCAAATCCCGCTCGATAAGGCCTAGCGCTTAGCGCTTAGCGGCAGTGCAAGTTCTACTAAACTTTACAAGCACCGCTCACTGCTCAGAACCCAGACCATGGTTGTTTCGACATACCGGCGCAGCGGGTTATGGCGACTGAGTGTTACCGTTCTTTGGCGGCCAGCTTCGCGTACTGCCGTGTACAAACACCCGAACTTGAATGGACCCAGCCTTGGCGTGTCCCGCTGTTATAAAGCTCCACCAATTCCTACAAAGGACCAGACCTACCCCGTTTTAATTTTCTGAATTTCACCAACTCCCAGTCAGGCTGGAACTTGTCACTCTTTAAGCACACACATTGGCTTTTGATCAACGACCATGTTACTTACACTTATTGATGGCACGGGCCTTCCCATACCGCCTGATCGCACGCCCACTGGCCATTATGTCCACGTCTATACTCCCTATGGCCAGTATAATACCGTCAAGGCGGCAATGGTCAACAGCGGCGTTTCTTGGAACCAGACCCTCACCATACATGAACGCCCTCAGACGTTTTCCAAATGGCTCATGTCCATCTTCAAATCTAAAACAGTTCACCTCGAAATTCGCGCCTCATATGACTCTGCACCAACACTCGATCAATATGAGGTTGTGTGTGAGTTTGACATGACTTTCGAACAATTGTTCGCAGGAGACGGACAGCATAGTGAGTCCTCACCTTCAGCAGTGTCATCGTCTGCTGACACCGATTCGGAAGCATTGATTTCGGATGTCAATGATCAACACATATCCCTCCAATTGAAAGCGGGCGGCACCAGCGAGGTATAAGATCAATCCAAGGCCTTATAATCACTGCTAATTTAGTCCACTTTTCAGGGCGTTGTGGATGGACAACCTGTGCACTCGGCGGCGGCGGTGCGATCGCCTGACAGACCCGCGTCATCGAGCAAACGTGAAGTACGTGATCTACTTCTTAACACATCACTGCAAAGAAGGCTTATTGATACAACGCATCCGCAGGAAAAAACTGTTGTCATATTCGGTGAAACCGGTTCGGGAAAAAGTTCAGTCATCAATGTGATTGCGCAAAAACAGGTTGCGGCGACATCCAATGATGCACTGGGATGCACCTCCGAACCTAAACGCTATCCAGTAGAAATTTCTGGCCAGAAATTCGTTCTGTTCGATACCGCGGGTCTCAACGAGGGGACTGCAGGCACGGTGCCACCAAGGCAAGCGAGGCGACAGCTGAAGAACTTATTTGACAAGCTCTTGAGTGACAAGTTACCATCGGGTGGTGTCGACCTCATAGTGTACTGTGTGCGCAACACGACTTCCCCTCGCGTCGTTCTTAATGCCTATGACACTGTTTACTCTGGGATCTGCCGGAAGAAGGGGGTCCCAATCGTTGTCGTCGTCACAGGATTGGAGTCTGAGAGTCCCATGGAGAGCTGGTGGGATTCTCACAAGGAGAAATTCAGCAGCCTGCATCTCGCAGGTCATGCATGTGTCACAACGATTCAGGATTATCCAGGTATCCCGGAAGACCATTCTCATCGCGTTGCACAGTCGGGCGAGATTCTGCGTGACCTTGTCAAGCACAAGTGCTCGGCTGTGGCTGTCGATGACAGCTTCTCCGCAGGAAAATGGTGCTGGTCGCCGTCGCCGTCAATGTACTAAATGTGTATGAATAGTACTGCCCATCAGTTGGGCAACATCTTGTGCACACTGGCATGAGATGTCTATTTACTCTCGATGGAGACCTCGGAGAGTCAGGCGGAGCCAGACTCGAGGTCTTGCATGATCTTATTATAAGCACCTGCACCTTTCTTGCTGGAAATAAGCGGTGGTTATGACTGGACGAGTTATGAGTTATTTTATCATTTTATTCCCGTGCGCACTACTTTTATTTTTCATTCATGATCATCAATTCCTCTATGTTTTATTTCGTTTTCGTTCTCCATCTTTTTATTAATGTTCTCTCGATACCACCTTTCGTCAGTCTTATGTTTATGGGTATCACATATTTTAGGCGATTGTTGTGAATGGGTTAGGATACATATATGGTTTTGTTAGCCCCCTGCCTCCCAAAAGAAATGTTGAAGACAGTTCAAAATACCTGGAGTCCAGGAACTCGAGTCTGCTTCCGCGGAAAATGGAAAATGGCAAAGCCCGGGTTCGGCCTCCACCGAGACTGTTTTACCCCTTGCCATGACGCAGCTGCTGAACGTTGAACAAGTAATGACATGAACATCACCACCATCTGGAGTAGGGATGAATGCAACCCTTTCTGTCAATATCAGAGGAACTATCAAAAAAAACATCGACTTGATCTCCAATGGCTTTGGACTCGAATCTCCATCCTTCCGCAGTTCAATCACTTCCCTACGAAACGCAGACTCATGGCATATTGCGGTCCGAACGGCGAACGCACTCCAAATGTGACTTCGGACAACCTGGTGCTAAAGAATCGTTTCGCGACTTGAGCTTTCTAAAACTCACCCCTCAACGATCCAACTTCAAGTGACAGCGGATTTAATTCTTCAGTTAACGTAATTGTACGTCGGGGCTATCCATATCCATCGCCCTTGTGATTTTCTAACCACGCAGTCAAACCAAACCAGCGATTTTTGGTCGCCGCCATCTGATTTTTGACTCTTGCCAATGAGTCAGGACTGTCAGTATTCCCATCTAATGTTCCCAACTGCACTCTGACTTCATATACAGCTCTTGGTGATTCTCGATCATATGAAGGAACTTGGGAGAAGCTCTCACAGGTCGCTGTCAAGGGTGCGGAGTATGACTCCCGTGAACGCCAGCCCCATCCAAAGTGTTTGCAAGGGACCCGAGTTACCATTCTTGACCAGATCTACGGATTACTAGACATCCGAGAGGGGAGTCGGCTCATTTGGTTGCATGGCACGGCAGGCGTTGGAAAGTCTGCTGTCGCGTTCAGTATAGCTGAAAGGATGAGAGCTTTGAAAGTGAAAGAGCAGGGGACCAGTGAAAAGCGGCTCCTGGGATCATTCTTTTTCTCCCGCAAGCACACAAAACGCTGCACGACGGGTTACTTTTTTGCGACACTCGCCTACCAGCTTGCGAGCAATTTTGCTAGCGTCCGAGAGGATGTGAACAGAACTATCCGTGACAATCCTGCGCTTCTAGACCCTGACAAGTCGCTTCGTGACCAGATGGAGGAGCTTTTTCTCCAACCTCTCCGCGGGCTTCGTTTCAAATTGTGCCAATGTCCACCTTCGGTGTTTGTTGTCGACGCCCTTGATGAATGCATGTCTGTAACCGAGATTGCCGACCTCATCTCTCTGCTTGGCCAAGCTCTTCGGGAACGTAATCTGCCCGTCATCCACATTCTGCTCACGAGTCGTTCGGAGGAGCACATCCGTAAAGCCATCCAGAACGAAGACGTGCACCCGCTGGTCTGCGAGATACCATTGAACACTTCTGGGGCTGGTGTTGCTGCCACCATCTCGCTGGACGATGCAGATGTTG